CATATTTTTGAAAATACTGCGAATACGGTTAAAGATACAAGAAAAATATAAAAAAGAAAGTTGTAGAGAATGAAATTTCCAAGAAAAAAGTCTGCGAGATGATGCCTCTATCTTCAATGGTTTAGGTCCTAAAGGCGTTCAAAGACGCTCAAGCGACGAAATCGGGCCATTTTTACCGGTGGTCAAGAAACAAAATTAATTTAAACCTAAACAGTTGAAGATAGAAATATGGTCTCGCGGACTTTTTTGTGGGAAATTTAATTCTCTACACTTTTTTTGTATCTTCAACCGTATTCGCAGCGTTCTCAAAAATAATAATAATAATAATAAAATTAATCGTTTGTTTTTCACAGCTTATTAAGAATATAAATCTCAACATTTTTGCATTTTTTTCCAAGCAATTAGTAAAGTGGTTGAATTTAAATTAATTATGCATTTATAAAAATAAAATCGAGCTGTTTAAGGATTTTTTTTGAAAAATGAACCAAAATAAAAATATGAATTTTGTGCATCACTTTTGGTTCACCCTGAATACTTGTAATCCAACAATAAAAAGCTTATTACAAATACTATAGGAAAAGAAAGAAAATACAAAAAAGGTACGATTTCTGTGGATGTAAGAATAAAGATTGTCAAGGTTATTCCAAATAAAGTCCAAAATGTGTTTTAAATACGACGTTTCAATGGTTTATTTCTATTTGTAGACCTGTTGAATCTGAAGAAATTGGATTGAAACGTCATATTTCAAACACACATTTTGGACTTTCACTTTCTTCATTTTTTTTTTCTCACCTTCATAATGGAGTGGCAAAATCGCCCTATACAAATGTGCCTGTCTTGCCGTTTGTCCATTTCTAGTGACAGCAATAATCGGACATTTCGGTCTATATTTCGAAATGAGATGTGCTGACCGTCCTGACGTCGTAACAACAATAATAGCAGCAGCTAAACACTTGGATGCAGCCTCAGCAGCAGCTATAGCAACAGTATGTGCTGCATCTACAGGAGGTACCGCCTACAAATACCAACATTAAAACAATTCACCCCCCCATTTTTTCAAACCCTCCAAACCTTGCTTGTAAGATCTTGAAACAATTGTTTATGCCAAATTGCCGCTTCGGCCTCTTTACAAATATTCGCCATAGTTAGGACACACTCCAATGGATAATCCCCTTTGGCCGTCTCACCCGACAACATCACACAATCAGCCCCATCCAAAATGGCATTTGCCACATCCGAACTCTCAGCTCTTGTCGGTCGTGGCTTTTTTACCATACTTTCCAACATCTGTGTGGCACAAATCACAGGCTTACCAACTTTATTACACTTAGCAATCATGGCTTTCTGAGCGAGGAAAACTTTTTCGGTTGGTATTTCAATACCTAAATCACCTCTAGCGACCATAATACCATCACTGGCCTTGATAATCTCATCCAGATTTTGCATACCTTGTTGGTTTTCGATTTTCGATATAATAAGGATGTTTTTACCTTCAGGACCGAGAATATTACGGATTTCATTAAGGGCATTTCCGTTTCGGATAAACGATGCGAAAATCATATCGACACCTTGTTCGACACCGAATCTCAAATCGGATTTGTCTTTTTCGGAAACGGCAGGAAGATCGACTGGGACTCCTGGAAGGTTGACACCTTTGCGACTTCCCAACATACCGCCGTTTTCGATGGTGCAAATCAAGTCAGTGCCTTTGATTTCGTTGCAAACGAGTGACATAAGGCCGTCGTCGACGTAGACACGATTACCAACTTTTAGGACTTTTTGGATGTTGTCATAATCGACGTAAACGATTTTCGCATTGCCTTTTTCAGCATAGGCTTTGTTTGTTGTCAGGGTGATTTTTTCGCCTCTTTTTAACTCGACTTCCGCCGAACCTCCCTGATAAAAAAATAATAATTAATGTCAAGGACAAGTCTGCAAATATTTTAAAAACATGTTGATTTTGTTAATTAACAAGACGTTGATTATTGTTTAATGTTGGCGAAACTAATTAATGTTTTGCGTTGGGAATTATTCCTAACCAAATGCAAAGTAGAAGTTTATCTTAAAAAAAATCAATTAACTTCTCCACTTTTACATTATTTGAAATGGCATTCTATTTATTAAGTAATATTGTTATAGAAACTAGTGAGTAAAATTGAAATTTTTTATCCGATTTCCAAAAAATGACTAGAACGCCCTAAAGTATGTTTGACCAAGTTTTGTGTTTTCTCGGCTTATTTTTGTCTTATTTTGCTCAAAAACTTTTTTTTCAAACTTTGTGTGTTTTTATCTATCTCTCAAGAAGACAAAAAACGCGGTTTTTGGGCTATTTTGTTAAATTTGTGGCTTGTTTTTGTCAAAATTTTGCAAAATAATTGTGTTTCTAACTGAAAAAGCATTCGAAAAAAAAAAACAAAATAAGTTGTCAATTTTCGACTCTGTTTAGTAATATCTTGTAAAGAACAAATAGAACTATTTTTAACCAATTTGGTGATTTTCGATTTTTTTTTCGAGAAAATTTGACGAAATAATCAAGTTAAGCCTAAGCGTTGGGTAAAAATATCATAACTTAATCTTTTTTTTTTATAACAATTTCGTGATTTTTGACACGCTGTGATAAACTCCTCGTGAAAAAAAAAAGTTTTCACTTTAAAAATCTGCTTGAACTTTCGAAAAATGATGAATATAATTATATAATTTTCAGCATAATTCTGCTTTTTTGGCTTATTTTTAACAAAATTTTGCGAAATAATTGCTGAAAAACATACTAAAACGCTCGAAAAATACAAAAATAATATAATTTTATAGACTTAATTTACTTTCTTTTAGCGAAATCTGGCGAAAAAACTGCTTAAAAGTATATTTGACCAAGTTTTGTGTTTTCTCGGCTTATTTTTGTCTTATTTTGCTCAAAAACTTTTTTTATGTATTTTTATCTCTCAAGAAGACAAAAAACGCCGCTTTTGGGCTACTTTGTTAAATTTGTGACTTGTTTGTGACAAAATTTTGCGTTTCTAGCAGAAAAAGCATTAAAAAAAAAATTTGTTGTCATTTTCGACTCTGTTTAGTAATATCTTGTAAAAAACAAATAGAACTATTTTTAACCAATTTGGTGGTTTTCGATTTTTTTTTTCGAGAAAATTTGACGAAATAATCAAGTTAAAACCTAAGAGAGTTGGGTAAAAATATCACAACATAATTTTTTTAATAACAATTTAGTGATTTTTGACACGCTGTGATAAACTCTCGTGAAAAAACAGTTTTCACTTTAAAAATCTGCTTGAACTCTCGAAAAATGATGAATATAATTATATTATTTTCGGCCTAATCCTGCGTTTTTTTGGCTTGTTTTTAACAAAATTTTGCGAAATAATTGCGTTTCTAGCTGAAAAACGTACTAAAACGCTCGAAAAATACAAAAATAATATAATTTTATAGACTTGTTTTAGCGAAATCTGGCGAAAAAACTGCTTAAAAGTATATTTGACCAAGTTTTGATTTCTCGGCCTTTTTTTGTCTTATTTTGCTCAATTTTTTTTTTTTTTAATTTTTTGTGTTTTTATCTCTCAAGAAGACAAAAAACGCCGTTTTTGGGCTACTTTGTTAAATTTGTGGCTTGTTTTTGACAAATTTTGCGTTTCTAGCTGAAAAAGCATTCAAAAAAAAACAAAATAAGTTGTCATTTTCGACTCTGTTTAGTAGTATTTTGTAAAAAAACAAATAGAACTATTTTTAACCAATTTGGTGGTTTTTGATTTTTTTTTTCGAGAAAATATTTTTTTTTGAATTCATTTAATCTACAACCTTATTTAGACCTTGAAATAATAATCTTCAATTTTTTAGAGTGCCAGAAACCACAACAATTCATAAAAAAATAATTTGTAATTATAATATTGTGGTAAAAACATCACAGAGATTAAATGATTATCCTAAAAAGTCGTAAACAATAAATATTTGTCGCCATATCATTTTGAATTACTGCCATAACCGAATTTTTCCCGTATTTATGGTCACTATCAGCAACCTGGCAAATAAATTAGTGAAAATATGCCATAATCATAACAGTTTTATAACAGAATATTTAATCTTTTTTTTAGATAGACACAGACATGGTACTAGAATTATTATCTTTATGACATTGAATTGTTCATTTTATCACGCACAGGTATTAAATTGCACTCATCTCATTAAAAAAATCGGGTATTTACTAGAAATATTTGCACAGATAATAATAAATAAATTTAAACATTTTTTCCGTGTTCCTGGTATCTACCTACTTGAAAATTTTTTCTGGGGTGCAAGTTCTGGTACATCCTGTATACTTGATTTGACATCTGTCAAAATTAACCTCAAAATTTTCAATAAATTCACGTTTTTTTATGAAATTGCGCTGACGATCATGAAAAATGTTGTTTGATATTTATTTTTCAGGCCTTCGACCTCCAATGCAGCACTCAGCTTCGCTTCGTGCCGCAAAATTCGGTCTCAGACCTGAAAAATAATTGAGACAGGGCAAAATAACTATTTTAAATCCACAAGAACAAGAAGAGTAAACAAGAAAAATTTTTAAAAATGTATTATAGTTCATCAAAATTAATTAATTTCTAAACAGAAACAGGCAAACGTCACACATTCTCTTCTTTTTACTCCTGATTCATTTTTTTTTTGAATTCTACAACCTAATTTAGACCTTAAAATAATAATTTCAATTTTTTAGAATGCAAGAAACCACAACAATTCATAAAAAATAATTTGTAATTATAATATTGTAGTAAAAACATCACAGAGATTAAATGACTTATCCTAAAAAGTCGTAACAGTAAATATTTGTCGCCATATCATTTTGAATTTTTCCCGTATTCTTTTTTTTAGAAACCCAGACATTGTGCTATTTACTAGAATTATTTGCACAGATAATAATAAATAAATTTAAATATTTTTTCCGTGTTCCTGGTATCTACCTACTTGAAAATTTTTTCTGGGGTGCAAGTTCTAGTGCACCCTGTATACTTGATTTGACATATGTCAAAATTAACCTCAAAATTTTCAATAAATTCACGTTTTTTATGAAATTTCGCTGACGATCATGAAAAATGTTATTTGATATTTATTTTTCAGGTCTTCGACCTCCACTGCAGCACTCAGCTTCGCTTCGTGCCGCAAAATTCGGTCTCAGACCTGAAAAATAATTGAGACAAGGCAAAATAACTATTTTAAATCCACAAGAACAAGAAGAGTAAACAAAAAAAAATTTAAAAATGTATTATAGTTCATTAAAAATAATTAATTTCTAAACAGAAACAGACAAACGTCACACATTCTCTTCTTTTTACTCCTTACTCATTTTTTTTTTTTTGAAACCTTGAAATAATACTTTTCAATTTTTTAGAATGCAAGAAACCACAACAATTCATAAAAAAAAAATATTTGTAATTGTAATATTGTGGTAAAAACATCACAAAGATTAAATGACTTATCCTAAAAAGTCGTAACAATAAATATTTGTCGCCATATCATTTTGAATTTTAAATTTTTCCCGTATTTATGGTCACTATCAGCAACCTAGCAAATAAATTAGTGAAAATATGCCATAATCATAACAGTTTTATAACAGAATATTTAATCTTTTTTCTAGATACCCAGACATTGTGCTACAATTATCTTTATGACATTGAATTGTTCATTTTATCACGCACAGGTATTAAAATGCACTCATCTCATTAAAAAAATCGGGTATTTACTAGAATTATTTGCACAGATAACGATTCAAGTGGTTGATTTTGAAAAAACTCACCCCTTCGAGCAGCCCGGTCCTGATTTCCGGCCCTTTCGTATCTAAAGCAATGGCCAAAGGATACGACATTCCAATTTTTTTACTATAATTCGCCACCGCAGTCCTAATATTCTTAATAGTCTCGGCGTGATACTCATGCGAGCCATGCGAGAAATTCAACCGTGCAATATTCATCCCAGTTTCCATCATTTTTTCCAAAACTGCTGGATCACGCGAAGCCGGACCTGAAAAAACCGCATGAAAGAAAATGTGACATTTTCACTTTCAAAATTCCGTTTTTACCAATGGTGCAAATAATGCCGGAAAGGCGCACAAAGGGGGCCTTGGATTGGATGTCGAGGGCGCACATGTGGTCGAGATGGGTGCTCGCGTCGGCCGCCTCCCTCTGAAGGGGTGGAACACTTGAAGAAGCCATCTGAAAAAAGGACACGATGGTAGAAAATTAAATGAAAATTCGGAACGTAGTCAACCTCGCGGTCGTAATTGTCGTAAATTGTCGTAAAAACCATTTTTCTACAAGGAAATCTTAACGCACAGCTTTCAATCAATACCACGAACGCACTTGATTTGCCCTTGCAAACACTTCTCCCACCACAAAGGAGGAAAGCTGGCACTAGCATTTGTTCAAGCGCTTTATTTATAGATTTTTCATCAAAAAACACCGATTTCGCACCAGGGGTGTGCGACAATAAGTCCCGAAGCCACGTAAGTGCGATAAATTCGTTTTTATTAATAGAACTAAGCTCTAGACCAAGTAGTGACCCCATTTCGAATTTTTTAGGTTACGCAATTGGGACCATTTGAGGTTTTTCACCCCGAAAACACCCCCAAATTTACCTTGGCCTCCGCTGCGGTCGACCCCGGCTGACAACAATCCAAAAATTGCTCTTTAAACATCTCTAATTGCGATTTTCAAAATTTAAATTGACACTTGACAAGTGACAGGTCACGTGATTCGGTCAGGTCTGCCAACCCAACGCCATCTATTGCCACTCCCCAACAATTTCAATCAAAATCATTGTTCCAAATTATTAAATTAATCAATTTCAGGTTCAGCGACGCATTTTCTCCTAGAAACGGAATTTTACACATGAATTCACATGACAAAATTTTAGCTGTTAATCCACTTTTTTGACATTTGACAGCTGACAAAATTTGACAAAAGTTTTGCTATAAAACCACTTCGAGTAGCGTGGTGTTGAATCGTCACACTGGGGGGCCCAAATCAAGTCAAGTTTCACACCCGGACGCCCAATTGGGTGAGCACCCAAACTGGGGGTTATAATGGGGTTACGTACCTTTTTCGGGGGACTTGCCATTAAGTCGGTCACTTAAACACTTGTTGATGGTTCAGATGTGGCAAAATTGATCAAAATTCGAATTTGCACAGCCTACTTATTCGACTTGATCTCAAATGACAGGTAGAGGTCATGGAAGGTCACCGTGAAGACGTGTAAAGTGTCTGATTGGTCGACGCTTTCTTCGTTGATTGGTGATTGGCCGGTTTGGGAACTGGAGTGGGATTTGATTGGCCGACTGTCATTTGTTACAGTAGACTCTGTGATTCATCAGAAGTGTGATTATCAAATTGTACAAGAATGAAGGAAGAATTTTATCAATAGGTCACACGTGTGACACGTGACTACGCTATGATATAACAAAAACAAATAATAAAACTTATTTTATTAATAAAAATGTATAAAATACAATCGAGTCAATTACATTAAATTACGAAAATTTAAAAAGCGATTTGTTATTTACACTTTTTAGGTTTATATACACACAAAATCACAAAATTTCGGGTTAGGAACACAATTAGAGATCAGACATCTTGGGAATCTATCGTTGTGTAATGCACTTTCCTCGTCAAGGCCTCAACGACAGGCCCAAATCTAGTCTTAACTTTATCTTTCTTCAAATACGCATAAGTGGCTAGTAGAGTTAGTAAAACTATGGTTAAAACGATTAATAAGACAGTTATGCCTTGTGAAATTTTGGCATGTTTAGCTGCAGCCAAGTTTTTCAAGTTGAGAATATATTTGTTGCCATATTTGGCTTGGTGGCACTCCAAATGGTCTTTGTTCCGCACTTCAACTTGTGTTTTGAGGAGCCAATTGTACAAATTTCTGATAGCTTGGTCACACCTGAAGGGATTTCCCCGGATTTCCAGTGTAAAATGCCTGGTGGGTGCCACCAAACTATCAAAATCGCTCAAATCGGCCTCGCTAAACTTGGTAATATTGTTATTTTCCAAATCCAAGTATCTCAACTTCTTCAAACACCTCAAATTGAAGTTGAGTTTGGGAATATTGTTATCACCTAGATAAATGTCATGCAAATCGGGTAAATCACAGAAAACGTTCTCGTCTTTGAAGAATTTGATCTCGTTTTGTTCTAAATGAAGTTTGTACAACTTGGTTAAATTACTGTTAACAAAAATGTCATGCAAGTCGTTAGCTAAAGCCGCGTCGGTGTTATCAGCAAAAGCGTTCGTCAAATGCAACTCTTTCAAGTTGTAAAAATTTGAGAAAACTCGAGGGTGGTGAAAATTCCCATCGTCTTCGTTCGCTATTGAGATGTTGTTGTGGTTGAGGATCAATCTTTGCACACTTGGGACATGATGGAAGGCTTTACCCTTGATTTCCCTGATCCCATTGTTGCTCATGTCCACGATTTTCAATTCGCTCAGGTCCAAATCCTCCCCAAAGACGTTCATCTCGAGCACCGGGATGTGATTTCCGGTGAAAATGAGCATCTGGGTCTCCTCCGGGAGCTCCTGGAGCATGTCAGTGTTGCGAAATGAGAGATTCGTGCAATTCACGGTGAATAAAGTCTGCGATTCGAAGTAGATTTTCCCGCAATCGCACCCCTTGAGGAGCTGCGACCGGCATTGGTTGACATTGGCAGTGACAAGGGTGGCGAAGAGCACTACGAGAAGGGGGCGCTGCATCTAACAATGACACCATAAACCTCCACTAATTAAAATACCTTAACACCACCAAAAACCAAGCTTTGTGACTTTCCCCTCGTAATAATAATTGGGGAAATCCGATTTGACCGTGAGGTATTTCCCAAATAAGGTCCTCACGTGCATTTAAGTGGGATGGACTGGTTTTGGGCGGTGCTTCTTGAGTGAAATTGAGACTTACCTTGAGGGTCGTTAAGGGTGTGCAAACTGATGATTTTTGATGATTCAAGTGGATGTTTGTTTACAAAAGACGACTTTGTATGCAATGCAGACTACAAAGCAACATTTTTAGAACAGGTACGCATGACGCAGGTGGGAGAAGAGTCAGGTGAAGCAACAGGTGGGATAAGAAAGTAACATCGTGGTGTATTGTTGGTTGCATACCTGCCACTAATTTTTTTAATTTTTACAATTTCTAATTAATTGACCACTTAATTTTGCTAAGTTAAGGATTTCCTTTCTTGAAAAAAATTAGGTGTTAACCAAGGTTGCCAGGGCTAGGAAGTTTGCCCGAATCTAGGGACTTTTAAACTGTCTAAGGGATAAAGGGATTTTTTCAGTTTTTTTACACAAAATCTAGGGATTTTTTTTAGATCTTTTTTGTTTGTTTTTGTGTTCAAGGTTTCATGTTTATTCTTTTTAATAATTCAGATTGAAATGTAAAAAAAAGTTGATAGTACGAATAAGTACGGTTTACCTAATATGTACAAAAAAATTGTTAAAAGTTAAAAATTGAAGTGTGTTAATAACGTATGTGTGGCAGTTTTATATTTTTAATTTTTAAACTTTTTTAAAGAATTCGAAAATAAATTGTACTGTTTTTATTAATATTGTAGCTTTTTACTCCTTTTTCTTTTTAAACTGCTTTCAAGGTGTTGAAATGACATCTTCCAAAGACATCGAAGAATATTCTTTATCAAACCAAAAGAAAACGTAAGAAAGAATTTTTTCTACAATTAATTTAAATAAAACCAAAATTCGAAATAAACTTTCAGTGGAAACATTAAGTGGTTTTCTGCAAACAAAAATGTTGCTAAAAGATAACAAGATAACGATTCTACTGTGTTAAAAAAAATGAACAACGAAATATATTTTTTTTAGTCTTATACTATTAATTGTATACATGTTATTTGTGGTTTTTATTAGCAAAATTTTTGTAACTTTATTAAATAATTGTTAAAAAAAAAACATATACAAGATCATCAGTATCATTAAATAAACATAAAAAAATGTCAAATGTCAAAAAATAAATGTCAAATTTTTTTGACAGAGAATTTTTTAGATAGTATATTATCTTACATGAAATTTTTCTCTGGAGCGCGAGTTCTGGCGCACTCTGTATGCTTACATATACTTAGTTTTTATATTATTACGAATTATTATTATATGAAATTTTTATTAGTTTCTGTTTTCTTTAGTTAAATTAATAATATGTATTTAGTTTGTTCAGAATATATTTTACATTAATTGAGAATGTTATGTTTCATTTGTTATATTATTTGTTTAATCAAAAATGTTTAAATAAACTTTTTTTGAAATTCTTATACATACTCTTTTTCATATTAATGTGCATCAAGGGTTGTAGAAGTCTAAATGCATATTTAATTTAAAGGCCGATTCACACATAAAAAGTGTCAATAATGTCATTGAGAACAAAAATAATCACATCAATAATGACAAAAATCGTTATGTTTGCCACCCTATGTTAATTAGATGTTAATTTTTAATTATTTTTTGCTACCTCAAAAACTGGGGTACACATACTTATCTGAGAAAATATTTTTTAGGGAAGATTGAGGTTGGGATTGTTTGAATTTTCGCATGGTTGCCACCTTAAAATGATCCATTTCAATACACATTAATATGTAAACGATTATAAATGGATTTGGCAATGCCTAGGAATTTCTAGAGAATTTTGACAACTAATTTTAGGGAACTTCTTCCAAATTTGCCAACGGAATACTGGTTTTATTGACTAATATTTTAAGATTTCAGACACATCACGTTGAAAATCGATTTTTAAGCGTTGCCAACCTATTTTAAAGTCCTAATTGTTATTTTAATCATTTTATTATCACACTTTTGGTTGTCGGTAGTTATTTTTTGCCTGAAGTGAAATGGCATTTTTAAAAAATAATAGAGAATTTCTTTATTACTATTGCGGTATTTCTTGTTACTTCATCAATGAATATTCAGTGACCTTAACCCACTTTATAAATTTAAATAAATCTTTGTTCACTCGAAATAATTATGTTATTTCTATTACTGTAAATGTGTACAGTTGCGGAATTGAAATTTCGGGCGGTATTTTTCTGTCACTTTAAAAAATTCACTGTAAACTACCTTTTACTGTCATCATGAATGACATTTGACAATTAAACTTTGCTTTTGTTGTTAAAACTGTTCGACAATTTGTCTGTCTTGGGAAATTTGTTAATTCAACTAAGTGTAATTACTACTCGTTACACAAATCACAATTTTGAAAGTAAATAAGTTAAAATGACATAAACATGACAAAAAAAATGAGGTTATTAATATAAAGGTGGTTTTAGAGTTTACTTTCACAACTTTACATAGGTCTTGAAAAAAGCAATAAAAAATAAAAGAAAATTATAACCAATTTTATAAATATTTCACAAGATTTTGCGTTGCAAAATGTCACTGAATTCAAAAAGTGTAATTCCAAAAATGATATAATAAACTACACTGGCGGACATGGAATTTTTGACATCAAATTTATGTCAGTTCAAAAAATGTCAATGTAAGTCACGCTTTATTGTCATTATGATTGACGTTTGAAACTAAAATTTAAAAGTTTTAGTTGTTTGGCGTCGATTTTCGGAAACAATAATGCCAGCAATACGTGTTTTTATATAAATTGAATAAATTATTTTGATTTGTTGTCATTTTTTCTCTAGTTGTCAGGATAAAAATTATAAAAACCGAAAGTGAGGTTAGTTGCCTAAGGCCCGTTTTACATTTTTATGTCAAAGTTCCGTGCCCACATCCTCTTCATTTTTATTGTACTCTAGAATAACGTATGCTACCAACGTAGGTATTTCATAATCTTTAGACACGTTATATAATTTCCTGAGTGAGATTATTGAATGAATAAGTAAAGAAACTAAAAAACTCCAATATCAACATAAAGTTTTACTACAGAAAATAGTCAACTCGCATAGTATTTAGACTTTTAGCCCCCGGCAGCGAGACATCTAGCTGTTTACAAAAGTATTTGTATTCAGGGGCGCGCCTCAGGTGAGGAAACAAGTTTTAGAGTGAGGAATGTGTTCACCTGCAGCAAAACGGTTCCGTTACGCCTCCTGCAGAACCATAAACGCGTAAAACGACAAGAAATGAGCGGTTTCTTCAAGGAACGTTGCCAAACACTCTTCGAAATCCCTGTCTCAAAGGAAGAAAATCGAAATGTGATTTTTTTCTAGATTGGTTTGTCAAGCATTTGGCTTTTTACACAATTGTTAACGCCTAGAACCACCACAGAAAGAGTGATGACAAAAAATGTAGCGAATGGTAGTAAAAATGAAAAAAATGTAAAAATTCAAATTTTGACATTTGACACTACTCACAAAAAACCTCACAAAATATTATTTTTTTGTTAAGTAAAATATTGCAAATAGTACACAATTGTCTGGTTAACTTGTGACAATTCAGTAAATCATCACAATAATTTGAAATTTGAAAAAATGCGAAATTATTTTTGTGGAGTTGGCAACGCCGCTCATTTTCCTGTACAGCCCAGAAATGTCACGAACGTCACTGTACAATATGAAAACGTAGTGTTTATTAGTCATGTCATTTCAAACATTCCATTCAAATTCAACAAATAGTTTATTTCGACCAATTATTTCGCGTAATTACATGTGATCAAACCTAACCTCAAAATGCCCGACTCAGTCGAACTCAGCTTGGACCGAGTCCTCCATGGGCTCCCCCTCGAGGGCGAAGAATCGGAAATCTGCGACTTCTCTCTCGAAGAACAGAACGCAGCTTGTGAAAGCCAGGGGGTGCAGCCCACCGTGAGCCCCAATTTCAAGCCGGTCATCGGGGAAACTGTCACTTATGTCGTGGCAGTGGTGCTCATCAACGACCAGAATGAGGTGCTCATGATGCAGGAAGCGAAGGAGTCGTGTGCGGGAAAATGGTAGGGTTTGGCCCCCTTGGTGTGTTTTTGCAATTTTTTTTTAGGTATTTACCCGCGGGGCGCATCGAGAAGGGCGAGACTATTAGCGAGGCGGGGCAGCGAGAGGTTTTGGAGGAGACGGGGCTGCATGTGCAATGCACCACTTTGGTAATGGTCGAGTGTGCTAGGGGGTCGTGGTTGCGGTATGTTTTGACGGGGGTGGTGACGGGGGGCAAACTCAAGACGCCCGCTGAGGCCGACAAGGAGTCTCTCCAGGCGAAATGGGTGGCTAATTTGGGGGAGTTAACCTTGAGGGCCACCGATATCATGGATTTAATTAACAGAACCAGGTATTTACTATTTAGGGATTTTTTTATTTGGGGTTGGTAGTACACTACTCAAAGTCACAATGCAGACATCTCAGTTGTTTTTTCCTAAAAATTATAATTTAGTATACAGAGTGTTCGTAAATTATCACATACTCCAATAAATTCTCTACGATTTCGTCCAAATCATCTACTTTGTATTCGGTTAAATTCTCCAATTGTTTGGTCCACTGAGTTAATCCAATGTCAGAACGGCCTGCTGCGATTATTGCAGCTGCCAGTTTCGACGGTTGGTACAACTGCATATAATGCACATCTTCGATTATTTTATCCAAATGGACACTAACAGCTTCATGAAAATCATAAAATAAAGTACGCAAATTTTTTCCGTTGTCTAGATCCTCAAAAGTTAGAAATTCTTGCATGAAATAAAATACGTAATGCACAGCACACTGAAGTTTTATGTCATGTTGAAAAAAATGAATGGTTAAGTAATGTTCCAACTTTATGTAATCAGTGATTGGGTATTGATTGTCAACTAAATGATTTAGTTCACTAGATCTGGGGATTTTTTGTGCGTTTTCTTCGTGTTTTGCTAAAAAAAAAAATTTTTGCTTTTTGGCGAACAAGTGAAAATTATACCGGCCATTATGAGACACACGTTTGCTACCAAGAGCAGTTTTTCGGGGATTATATGGTGTTGGTCCATAAACATGTCTAAAATATAGACAGCCAAATGTAGACAACCCTGACTCAGTGATTTTTTACTGCAAATTTTGGTAATGTAGCCGACCAAAAATGGCCTATAATAGATCTAAAAATGCATTATTATCCTATCAACAAGAAATTACTCCCAAGGATTTGGGAATTTTCGTGAATAGGTTGCCATAAATTTGGTTAGGTTGGATTTTAGTGACAAAAGATATCGTAACTTGTGTCAAAAATTTAGGTTAAGTCACGTGTCCATAGTGGCAAATTTGTAAAAATTGAGTTGTGTAAATCTGACTTTAAACATCCAATTGTTTTTTTAGGGACATATCTATCAAAAATGACAATTCGCATTGACACAATTTAGTTACGTTTGCTACCAACTTAAACACAATCCACACACCTAGCGGTGGCGGGCCAAGGACTGCCAACTTTGCAATAAATTGAATGGCCGCTATGAATTGACCGCGGTGGTAATTTCTTGTTGACAAATCTGTATTAATACACAACAAACCGAAAAAAATATGCTGTAAAATTAAGTTGGCAACACTGATTAATGTAAATATGATGGATATGAGATCTGTCATTTTTATAGCACTTGTCTTAAATAATTGCATTGAATCATTGGTCACACGGTAACAAAAAATTTTGCCAACTTAATTACATACCAGGTGAATAAAAAGTATGGAACCAAGCGTTTTTTTCGTAAACTAAGCACTTTACGAAAAAAATAATTAGTGTAGCGTAAAGTACAATTAAAATGTGACCATTAATCAAGAATAACATTTTTCGAAATTTCTTTTAGTTTTCGAGTTCTGGAAAAAAAAATTTTTTTTAAATGACAACCCACCAAGATTATGATCTTAAAATGACCTCTAATTAAGTAAAATTGTTTTTTGGCCAATACTTTTTTTTTAAATTAATTGTTAAAGTTGTGTTCCGAGCTAATCACGAAGATTTTCCGAACTTAACCGAAGTGGTTGTTTCATGCATTTCATCATGAAAAAATTACCATGGTGGGTTGCCATTAAAAAAAAAATTTTTTTTCGAGAACTCTAAAACTAAAAAAAATTTCGAAAAATGTTATTCTTGATAAATGATCACATTTTAATTGTACTTTACGCTACACTAATTATTTTTTTCGTAAAGTGCTTAATTTACTTGATTCCGTACTTTTTATTCACCTGGTATACTCATTTTCATATTAATGTGCATCAAAGTACTCGTTGAAAGTGGCCATTTTGAGGTGGCAACCATGCGAAAATTCACCTAACCTCAATCTTTCCTAAAATTGGTAGCAAGAAATAACTAAAATTAACAAGGTAATTAGCAAACTAAGGTCCAGTTTCATAATCGAATTGATTACTTTAAATTAAATGTCGGTTAGAATGTGCTGATTGTGACAGACATCTTGACAAAAACTTCACATTCTAAAGCAACTTTAATTTTAAAGTCCCTTTAGTTCGATTATGAAACTGGCCCTTAAAGGTTTTTCTCAATATTGATGTGATTAAAGTTCTGAATAATGACATTAATGACACTTTTCGTGTGAATCTGCCTTTAAATTAAAGACCTACTTGATGCACATTAAAACGAAAAAGATGATATTAAGATTATTAATCGAGGATTAGAATTTTGTTAATCACACTGAAGAGACAGTTTTCAGTGATTTTTTAAATAAGGCTATAAATTGTTTGGTTCACCCTGTATATTTACTTACTTGTGGTGATTGGTGAAAAAAGCTGCTCCTACTTTGCTCTCTCTCTTTAACCACTTGTTTAAAATCATCCCGGTATTCCTTATAACTATCATAAACGTCCTTCCGTAACTAAAATTGAAATTTTTTTAACCAAACACACCACAAACACTTACATTTTATTTACATAAAATACGGAATTGTTAGCGATGAGTGTTTTCATCGTGTTGAAAGTACCTCAAGTGGAGTTTTTCTCATAGTTTTTCCCTCGTTCTTATCAGGGCGTTGAAAGAAGGGAGAAAAAGTCGCGATCAAGGCTGGCCCAAAGACCAATTGCCTTGTCTTCGGCCCCATTCCAAGCTTCTCCTTCGTCTAGTCGTCGTAATAAAGAAAAAATCGACGAATCGAGTCCACGTTTTGATAAGCGAGAAGACTTCGTGGCATTTACCCACCTGCGAAATCCACCCATCGAAGAATCTGCATTCGACTTTGAAGCGGTTTATGGTGGATTTGTTCGGGGCGGATGTGGGGGCGCACAGGCCGCACGGGTTGCTCTCGGTGAGGTTGAATTTTCGGAGTTGGGGGATTTGAAAAGGGGGGTTGCAGGTGGAGTATGACCCACGGGAGCGCAAGGATGGGGCTTGTTTGACGCTGTTGGTGGCGTTTAGGCCGCCTTTGGAGGAAGTCCCCATCATTGGGAAGTGTGTCTGGCATGAGGCCTCCAAGGAGTTGGGGGAGAGGTTGTTGGCGAAAGTGGCCTCCAAGAATTCCACCATTCCGATCCATGTTATTTGTTGAGGTGCTAATCTGGCAGAATTTTGGTTAAGGAGCGGATAAATTTTATTGTTGTGGATTAACCTATTGTTAATTATAGTTTCGTATTTTATTATTGTTTGTGCATGTTATTGTAATAAATTATTGTAACTTTATTTTATTTTTTACCATAATTCCAATACACCTAGCATAGAAATAAAAAAAAATCAATAACAATGAAAACAACCAAATTTTATCTACGATTAATGGCCATATACAGGGTGTTCCGTCTAAACCCCTCATTAGAAGTATTGGGAGTTGCAATAATCGTATTTATTTGAAAATTGGTACATAGCCATAAACCATTAAGTCCTCCTAAATGAAAATATTTTCATGATGGCGGCACTTCCGCTTATACCGGAAGTCGGTCTCAACTTTCTTATTTTAAATGGAAAGGTATATTTTTTACTGCGTTTTTGGATTAATCGGGTTATTTTAAGGGAGTTTTTATCAGCTTTTCCTATACCTAAATTTAGACGTTTTTGAAATATTTGGAGTTTTTCAAAAAAATTTTGGTTTGCACCTTCCACTTTAAAAATCGGTAACTCTGCCATTTTTTAAGATTTTGAATTCGTTTTTTTGGCGTTTGAAAGAGAAAGCTTAGATCCTTTTTCTGCTGTTTTCAAATTTTGAAAAAAAATTAACATATCCCAAAATTTTAAGGTTACTTTTGTAATAATTCAAATAGTCATAAGTCAATTTTTTCAAATGAAATACCCCAATTTTTATTTTACTAAATAGAAGAGAATTTAATTGTGCATTGATCTGTATTAACATTCCCTATACCTAAATTTAATAATTTTCAAGTTATGGACTTTTTTTAAGACTACAGAAAATTTATTACTAGCCACAACCGTTTTCACATAGTTTGCTATGGAAATCAAAAATGTCAAAATTGTTTCTGAATAAACGTCGACAGTGACTTATTATTTGACAAATAGTGCCAAAATATGAAGAATGAAACTTATGCAAACTTAATTATTATTGATAGGTTCTACCATACGATCATTATTTAAAGCTAACAATTAAGAAAAATTTATTTTTTTTTAATGAACGACATAATAATTTTGTTACTCTCTCCATAAATACAAAATAAATTAATTAAATCTAAGTTTGAGTAGCTTTGACTCTCCATATTTTGGCACTATTTGTCAAATAATAAGTCACTATCGACGTTTATTGAGAAACAATTTTGACATTTTTTATTTCCATAGCAAACTATACGAAAACGTTATAGATTTTCGACAATCTTAACAAAAAGTCACCATAACTTAAAAATTATTAAATTTTGGTATAGGGAATGTTAATACAGATCGATGCAGAATTAAATTCTTTTCCATTTAGTAAAATAAAAATTGGGTATTTCATTTGGAAAAATTGAGTTATGGGTATTTGAATTATTACAAAAGTAACCTTAAAATTTTAGGGTTTGTTAATCTTTTTTTCAAAATTTGAAGACACCGGAAGAAAGATCTAAACTTTCTCTTTCGAATGCCAAAAAACGAATTCGAAATTAAAAAAAATAGCAGAGTTACCGATTTTTAAAGTGGAAGGTGCAGATCCAAAAATTTTTGAAAAACTCCAAATATTTCAAAAACGGCTAAATTTAGGTATAGGGAAAGCTGATGAAAACTCCCTTAAAATAACCCGATTAATCCAAAAACGCAGTAAAAAATATAGCTTTCCATTTAAAATAAGAAAGTTGAGACCGACTTCCGGTATAAGCGGAAGTGCCGTCATCTTGAAAATATTTTCATTTAGGTGGACTTAATGGTTTATGGCTATGTACCAATTTTCAAACAAATATGATTATTCGAACTCCCAATACTTTTAATGTGGGGTTTAGGCGGAACAGCCTGTAGTGTTGGCACCCCTTTTTAAATTTGACAGTCTTTTAAATTTTAATTATTTGCGTTTGAGAACATGAATAAAGAACGAAAACGTGTGATAGTGCAGCAAAATTAATAAATTCCAATGTAAAAACATGAGTATTACTACATTACATGCGAGGTGGTAAATATAACATTATCTCTAGTGTTTATGTACATATAAAGCACAAGGGGTAATGCCATTACCACCGAGGTTTGTATGCTATTTTATTCACAATCACATTATTTTTATCAAAAATTTGAGTAAAATAAATTCTAACAAAGTTAAGTCTGAACGTGGTAGGCGTTTGATTTTTGACATTTCAGAAATGTCAAAAGAAAATATTGAAATAATGTGTGAATCTGATTTAAAATCTTCGAAATGGAACAGTGTGTTCCAAACTGCTACAAAATACTAATTTAACAAAATATTATGCGTAACTTGACAACTTGAAAGAAAAAATTTCCGGTGTTTTTGTAATTTTAAGGTTGGCTATCCGCATATTACCACCCAAGAGAAGTAACATTATAAAACTGATCTGATAATAATGCTAGCGAAAAATAATTTCTTAATAAAGTACCTAAAAGGTGATTCCGTCAATTTGGAATTACAATTAAATCTTGGTGATTTTTGACTATCTGGGGATTTTCGCTGTGTGCAGTTCGTCGCCATGTCGATGTCCATGACCTCCATAAACAAAAACAAATGAGTGTAATCATTTGACATCTTTCAAAAAACAATTACAGGCCTCTATCGTCACGTAAAGTTCAATCTTGTGATGAAATTTTCCAATAATTTGTATTTATGATGCACGATTTGATTAAACAAAGGTGAGTTTTGGCCTTGCATGTGAAACATTGATCGTGATTAGCGCTAATCAGATGGAAAACAAAATAAAAGGATGGAAGAGCAACCGAAACGTTTTAAAGTTAATGCAATGCAGGGAACTTAATTGTGAAGCAGCAAAAGTACTCAAACAACGCACGCAATTCAGTGATAATTTTATTCAGAGGTTAGGACTCGAGGCGGAGCTTGAGGGGCACCAGGGCTGTGTTAACTGCCTCGAATGGAGCCCTAATGGACTGTAAGTGTCTCAATTTAATCCTGCAACAAACTGACTCAATTGCAGACACCTGGCGTCGGGCTCCGACGACACCAACGTCATCCTCTGGGACCCTTTTAGACACAAACAGATCAACGTAATCCCAACACCACATATTGGCAATATTTTTTCGGTTAAAGTAAACGAAGCACTGATTTTAGTTTTCGAGTTTGAACGTTTGTCCAGTTTTTAGCTGATGAAAATGTCATTGCGACTGCAGCTGGAGATTGTCGAGTGGTTGTGCAAAGTGTCTCGGGGGCTCTTGACAAAAGCGCCCCCTTGTTGGATTGCGCATGTCACATAGGAAGAGTGAAACGTCTTGCTACAGCCCCCGACCAGCCTACTCTGTTCTGGTCAGCAGGTGAAGATGGTTTAGTTGTGTAAGTCACCAACCTTGCAACACCAAACACCCTAAACGCACTTCCAGGCAATACGATATGCGGGAACCCCATGAGTGTCCCACGCAAAGTAAAGTTTTAATCGACCTAAGTTTCAAATCCGAAATCAAATGCATAGCTGTGAATCCCACTAAATCACACTATGTTGCTATAGGAGCAAATGATTGTTTTGTACGTTTATATGACAGACGGATGATTAAAGTGTCAATGGTAATTCTGTCAAAAATGACACCAACTTAAACAGTCTCAGATTTCGCCTTCTTTCCAGGCGAATTTGTCATTTAATCCGTCGAAAAGGACGTCACCGCAGCCACAAAACAGCGATTGTGTCCAATATTACGCCCCCGGCCATCTTGCACGCGAAAATGCCGGAATTATGAGTGTCAAATTATCGGTGACTTATATCGCTTTCAATTCCGCTGGTTCGGAAATGTTGGTGAATATCGGGGGAGAACAGATTTATTTATTTGATGTAAATAATAGTCGACACATTAACGAACTTAAAATCCCCCAAAATCTACCCAAAAGGCCGCATTTACCCTATAGGAATTGTTGCCAACCGGTATTTATGCACCCAATTAAGTCACTAGGATAATGTAATGGTTTTTCAGAATGCGTTGTCTGAAATTAATGGAGTCAGTGCGGACCTATTTGAGAAAAATACGGACTGTGCTTGCTTTTACATGAGGCGGGCGTTGCAAGCCTACCAACGGAAGTGGTATGTAAACAAAAATCCACTAAAAAATCACTGTTATTGTCGTATCAACAAGACATTACTCCCTAGGATTTAGGGATATTTGTGAATAGGTTGCCAAATTGGTTGATTTGGTTTCTGGTGACAAACAAAAGATATCGTACTAGTGTCAAAATGTAGGTTAAATTACCTGTCAGTTTGTTTATAATTTAATTGATTGTTGACAGAAAACGTCAACCGACAACAACAAAGGGTAACCAACCTTAGGCATACAAAGTTACTTTTGAAAATTCTAGTTACAAACATGACGAACGTAATTTTCCTAAAAGTTCAAATCCTAAAGTCGCGGTCAATTCATAATGGCCACTTTCCTGTGTGAATTTATAAAAATTAAGTTGTGTAAATCCGACTTTAAACATTCAATTGTTTTTTTAGGGACAGATCTATCAAAATTTTGAAAAAGTCGGGTTAGAATACTTCAGTATAGAATCTATTGCGCCTGTCACAATTGTTGACACAATTTAGTTACTTCAGCTACCAACATAGACACAACTCAAACACTAGAGGGGCTGCCAACTTTGTAATAAATTAAATGGCCACTATGAATTGGCCGTGAGTTTAGGTAGTAATTTTTTGTTAACAAATCTGTAAATCTAATGTTTCCAAATTGATAATTTACCATCAAATTTCAATTACTCGTTAATATTTTTTTATCAAAATCGATAAAAATTTATAGAAAATTAGAAGAAAACGAAACATGGTAAAAGATGAGTTATCAAGTTAATTAAAAAAAACACGTGTTTAAAAGTAAGAATTTTGGAACAATAAAATCTACACCTCATACAGGGTGTTTCACATAATTTTACGAGGCCTACGCCTGTAAAATGCAATCAATAATACATATGCCGACACGAACTCGATTACAAATTTTGAAAAATTGTAGAATCTTCTCTAGTTTGTTCACCCCTTCAAAAAAAAAAACATTTTTAATTAGTTAATGATTAAAATAGATAAACTAGAATCATTCTCATGCCGTCTCTTAACAGAACGAATGATAATTGTTTTTGAAAAATTGCAGTTTGTGACTATTAATGAAACAGTGGTTAGTTTGACAACTACTGTCATGGGTTTCCAAAAATTAAATTATTAAATGTGTATTTTTTGTGAATTTTGTATATTTGGGTGCGTACATTAGGCGCAAGCCTCGTAAAGTTGTGTGAAACACCCTGTATAACTGACATGTGGAAATCTTAAAACAAATTCTTAATCTAAAATTTAAATTACATAAAATCTTTCAAAATAATAAATGTCAAGATTTTCAAAAAATTAGAAATTTTGAGAAGTATGTTTAAAGGAACCAAAGATTTTAAAATAGAACAAAAATCTATTATAACACGGTTTTAAACTAATGAATTAAAAACAACTAAAACTGTTTAAAATCTTGAGAAAAAAATAGCATTTTGAAACAATAAACAACGTTAAGATTTTAGAAAAACTGATTTCTTGTTTGTTTAAAGATTTGATAATAATAATTTAAAAACTGGAGGCCTTCAAAAAAATGCTTAAAATATTTTTTTTTACGTACAATTTTATTAATTTCTAATAAAAGCCAAGATTTTGGGAAAGATGTGTAAAAATCCAAGATTTAAAAAAAGATAAGATCAAAACAATTGATTTTTGTAAAGGAGAAAAAAGATTCTGGAATGTTTTTTTTTGACTGTTTCTGAATTCTAACTTGTCAGTATTGTTTTTAGCTGTATTTAGATAAGAATGAATCTTTTAAATACAGGGTGTAACGAAAAGATGAGGACAAAGAGTAACCTGGGATTCCCCGAGTCCAAATAAAGCGATTTAACCCAAGTTGCACCGTTTAAAAGTTATAGAGGACGCCAATGAAATTATGATTTTTTTGTTCAAATTAATAATTAATTACATTATTATTAACTGAATACGCCATTCGTATTACGTGTAACAAAAATATGGCTTAAAGTTGTTAATAGGTAAGTACTTTACATCAATAATAGCACCAAAATATTATGTTTTGATATCAAATTGCTTGTACTAAATTTTATCAAAAAAGATATTAAAAACGAAAATAATTTTTAAGGGTTAAATCGTTGTATTTTCACCTGGGGAATTTCAGGGCTCTTTGTCCCCATTTTTTCGTTACACCTTATATAACAATTATTATACAGGGTGTTCCGTTTTTATTGTTACAAATTCAAACAGATGATAGGATATTCAATTCTAAGACAAAAGTTGTATTGAAAAATGCTTGGCAAGGGAGCTACACTCCCTGGAAGGGGGCTAATATGTTTTAGCTAATATTTCAGAAACCATTTAAGATAAAATTACATAATTTGGTACAGATGATAATCTTTATACACCTAAACGAATTCAAACATCAAATGTCGAAATTTTTAATCAGAGACGTACGAAACTGGGGGAGTTTAAGGTAAAAAAATACCCTATTTATTTTGGCTTTAGTTTCTCGGTACTTTCAGCAACAAAATCTTAAGTTCGATAGTTTATCACAGAAAAGTCTCTCTTGTGTCGATACGACTTATTGTTTTTGAATAAAATTAATTTAAAATTTATGTTACACACCAATACAACATTCAAATAAATCAGAATTTACAGAATAATAAAAGCAAGAAATTCATATTTTTTAATCAACCTCAACTAATTAACATTACATTTCAGTAACAATAATAACATTAATTAAATGAATTTGCCTAAATCGAAAGGTGACAAAGTGACCACCATTTTGGTCAATGCATAACTAAAGAAACTAGAGCCAAAATAGATAGGGTATTTTTTTACCCTAAACCCCACCAGTTTCGGACGACCCTGATTAGAAATTTCGACATTTGATTGAATTCGTTTAGGTGTATAAAGATTATCATCTGTACCAAATTTTGTAATTTTATCTGAAATATTAGCAAAAACCTATTAGTCTCCTTTCATGGGGTGTAGCTCCCTTACCAAGAATTTTTCGATACATGTTTATAGGAAACTTTTGTCTTAGAATTGAATATCCTATCACCTGTTTAAATTTGTAACAATAAAAATAGAACACCCTGTATAACTAAAATCGAATTTTATAATAATTGATTTGAACCTAAAGTCTAAAGTACAAAGAAAAAGTCAAAGTTGAGGTAAACAATAAAGAATTGAAATTTTTAATAATTTTGAATAAATATTGACAAATGCAGTTATACTTATGGGAAAAATGTGTTATTAAAAAGAAAAATTGAAGATGAAAATAAGAGAAATGTTTCCATTAATGAGATTGAATTTGATTTTTGCTAGGATGGGCGACTTGTACGCTTCGGCACGTGACTACCTCCACGTGATTCAGCATTGGCCAGACCACAAACAGGCTTACATCGGATTAATAAAATGCCTAATAGCCATGAAATGGGAAGAGGAAGCAAACGCCTGGTTAAAACACTTTACAAAACTCCACCCCGAATGTGAATCTTCCTCACAGATGAGATTCATCGTTGAGGAATTACAAACGCTCAAAAATAGCGTAAAATTCGAAGAAACAGGAGTGAAGAAAGTCGAAGATGATGAGAAGAAGCTACGATTGGATTCGTTCGATTTTGAAAAGATTTTTATAGGACATTGTAATACTACGACTGACATAAAGGAAGCGAATTTTTTAGGTGGTTTAAATAGAGTTGATTTTTTCATATTGGCTTGTTGGTTTCAGGTGATTGTGATAATTATATCTGTGCTGGATCGGACGAAGGGATTATTTTTATATGGGATAAGAAGAGTATGAATGTGGTTAGGGCTCTCTTTGGAGATAATTCGATAGTTAATTGTATTCAACCACACCCTAGTGCCTGTGTTGTAGCGTCCAGTGGAATAGATACGGCGGTTAAAATATGGTCGCCCCGGCCTGAGGTAAACAGTTTTTTTTTTTTTTTCTATTCTTACACAGGGTGACAACTTTACAAATTTTATATCATTTTGTTCGTCTCAATGAGACAAATCAAATGCACTAAAAAAATTAAAAAGTCCACACACTTTGAACAAAATAATTTAACCGCTCGAGGCGCCATCTTGGATGAAAGATACAAAAATTAGGTTTTTCCAAAATAAAAGATAAAAGTTAAAGAAAACAAAATTTCTCACATTTTTTGTATCAACATTTTTTTTTAAGTCTAATGTTAATGTGTAACGAGTTACAGCGGCGGAAATATGAACATTTTTCCTAAAAAATAGTAAAACTCCCCATTTTCGTCGGCGAATTTTGTAAGAACAAATTACACTTGTTTTTAATGTTTTTTCTGCACAGAATAATTATACAGCGATATCTATTTTAAATTACACTGACTTTTCTTGTTACATATAGAATTATTCATAAATAAGGCTCAGATTATATTCAAAATGTATATTTGTTATTCAACAAAATTATGTTTTCTATATCTGATGATTAAAAAATGCATATTTTGGCAACTTCGTGCATATTTTAGGAAATATTGCAAATCACAAATTTCTACTTAATTAAAAATTTCAGTTCAAGTTAAAAATTAGACAGTTTAAGAAAAAATATGTTATAGAGAAAAATTGTTTAAACATTTGAGATTACCATACTATTAATATTTTTTTCTTAAATAACACGGTTTTCTATTTATTGTTTTACAAAAAAAATGTTACAATTTATGTTAAAAAAAATTATAAACTTTATCTGTTGTCAAAACTTTCTTCCACCGGCCAAGGGGTGGTACGTTTAAATAATTAATTAAAATACAAAATATCTTGGCATCGCTTCTTTACAACCTTTAAACATTCATCAATTTATTTTAAAAAAAACGAGTAGTTTATTTAAAAAAAAATTCTTTAATACTTGTAAGTCAAAATTTTTTTAACAAAAAGTGTTAAGTTTACAAAAAAAAATTGCACAGCAACAATTCTTATAACAAGCTCGTTGTCTAAAAAAATTGTTAATATGTATACAGGGTGAATATAAAGTATGGAACGAAGCGGTTTTATTTTTAATCATTTGCCTCCAGAAAATAAAAATTAATATAAATTAAAGTAATATAAAAAATGTGATCGTATTTTCAGAACGAAATTTTGTTTTGTTTTTGAGTTATGCGATATTTTTTTGTCAAAATTGCAATTTATGTGAAAAATTTTTTTTGAAAAAATTTAATATATAGCAGATAGTTGTAATCCTTAGAGTATAGCTTTTATGAGAAAAATGATTTTATAGTGGGTTGCCATTAAAAAAAAATATTTTTTTTTGTAGAACTCAAAAACAAAAGGAAATTTCAAAAAATTTTATTCTTCATAAAAAACATCACATTTTTATAGTACTTTATCATTCATCAATTAGTTTTTTCAAAAAATAAATAGTTTAAGCAAAAAACGTTTTTATTCACCTGGTATATTATAAAAAAATTGTTAGTATGTTTAACTCGTAAGTATAAACAATGAATTGATATTAATTTTTTTTTTGGAATAGCAATTTTATAGCCCTTGTACACCTATATTTTTGTCTGCCAAGAAAATTGATAGTTTCGCCAGAAAATAAGCGTTTCCAGACTTCTGGACCACTCTGTATATTTGGTCAAATGGTTCCGAAGTTACTACAAAAAAAAAACCATACCCACGTTCCGAGGGTTGTAAAATTCTTATCAGTAGAGATAGGACACGAGTTATTATTTAACACCGTTTTATAGGTCATTTTTGAGGTTCAAATATTGCTTCATATTTATGAATAACCTATATGTAACAAAAAAATCAGTATAATTTTAAATACATATCCCTGTATAAAAACATTAAAAACAAGTGTAATTTGTTCTTACGAAATTCACCGTCGAAAATGGGAAAAATGTTCATCTTTCCGCCGCTGGAATTCGTTACACATTAGACTTACAAAAAAATGTTTATACAGAAAATGTGAGGAATTTCGTCTTCTTTAACTTTTATCTGAACACTTTTGTCGTAGAAGTTATTTTGGAAAAATTTTTCGTACCTTTCATCGAAGATGGCGGCATCTTTCTTCCGGTGTCTTCAAATTTTGAAAAAAAGATTAACAAACTCTAAAATTTTAAGGTTACTTTTGTAATAATTCAAATAGCCATAATTCAATTTTTCCAAATAAAATATCCCAATTTTTATTTTACTAAATGGAAAAGAATTTAATTCTGCATCGATCTGTATTAACATTCCCTATACCTAAATTTAATAATTTTTAAGTTATGGTGACTTTTTGTTAAGATTGTCGAAAATCTATTACGTTTTCGTATAGTTTGCTATGGAAATAAAAAATGTCAAAATTGTTTCTCAATAAACGTCGATAGTGACTTGTTATTTGACAAATAGTGCCAAAATATGGAGAGTCAAAGCTACTCAAACTTAGATTTAATTAATTTATTTTGTATTTATGGAGAGTATAACAAAATTATGATGTCGTTCATTAAACAAAAATATTTTTTTTTTACTTTTTAGCTTTAAATAATGATCGCATGGTAGAACCATGCATAATTTTGATTCTTCATATTTTGGCTCTATTTCTCAAATAGTAATTTACTGTTGACGTTTGTTTAGAGAAAATTTTGACATTTTTGATTTCCATAGCAAATTTTGTGAAAACAGGTGTGGCTAGTAATAAATTTTATGTAGTCTTAAAAAAAAGTCCATAACTTGAAAATTATTAAATTTAGGTATAGGGAATGTTAATACAGATCAATGCACAGTTAAATTCTCTTCTATTTAGTAAAATAAAAATTGGGGTATTTCATTTGAAAAAATTGCGTTATGAGTATTTGAATTATTACAAAAGTAACCTTAAAATT